CTCTGCAGTAAACTGCTCTCTCCACAGGCCTGGACCACCTGGTTAGATGCAGACACAGCAGCTGAGTTACCCATACTGGAATACAGTACAATGTTATATAGTATGCTCACTACCAGAATTACATGAGAGATAGTGGGTTTGTTTCTTAATTTCTGAAGATACTTTAGAATTACGCAGTCTCTTGGTTTGGGTGGCTCATGGTAAATTCTCTGAAGAGAGGGCACGGGCGGTGGAGGGTAGTGCAGAGCAGAGGTGTAGGGGTGCTCTAACCGTCCTCCCATCCCTCAGAGGCCCCTATGGCCTGGGGTAGGTGGTGTGACAGGCCAGGCCTGCTTCCTCTCAGATTTGGGACAGGTGTGGGTCATGCCACAGCTGAAAGTGCCATGTGACCTAGGTGTACACTGGCCAAGGCCAAAAATGAGCCTGCCATTTCCTTCTAATTTCTAAGCTAATTGCTGGGGGCTTTTTCAACCTTCATAACATATTAAGAACCTTTGAACAGCTGTGAGCTCTCAAATAAAACAGTGGAAGTGGTGGGGCAATGAGTCCTTTCGATCAGCTAGTCCTTTCATGTTGTGCTTAGCGTAGGGTGGGTGCTCAATCACAGTGTCCAGGAAGATAGGACCTTCATCAGAGGCAGCATAACACAGAGGTCAAGAGCACCAGCTGCCAAAGTGCAAATCCTAACTCTGCTGCTTTTCTTGCTGTGTGGCCTCAACCAAGTTACTTAACCTCTCTGTGCCTCATCTGTAAAAGAGTTGTAATAGTGCCTACTGGTAGGGTTGCTGTTGGAATTGAATGAGTTTATGTAGCGAGTGCCTAGAACAGTGCCTGGTACCTATTATTGTGCTCTTACGACTGTCATTATTAGCAGCAGCAACCAAGTACCACTCCCCACAGGGCTCACTGCTGATCTCTGTGTCTAGCATATATTCAGAAAAGACTGTGGAGCACCTTTTGACTAGCCCAGTGTTTCTAATCTGAGATCCTTCCAGGCACCAGCTCATTCCCTGCCACATAACCAGCTGTTCCCCAACTTGTATTTTCCAGGCTGCTTTTCCTTCTGTAAGTCTGCCACTGGGCAGCTGTCTCTCTCTGGTTTCATTCTACTTTTAAATATAGTCCAGCCACATTAAGGGCCCTCTCATCAGGCTTATGGGCTGTGTGATTCAGACAGGACAAGAACTGCAGTTGAGAAATCGGCTTTCATCCTATTCCAACCAGATTGTTTTCTAGAGTTTTATTATCTCTGCAAGCAGAATGCAAAAGATGGCTTTGGAACAAATCACTTCCAGGACATGATGTGAGGGTGAATTGAGGTTCCTCCCCAGAACTTGAAGTTCCTCCCCAGGACAAGTGAGGAAGGTGAGGCACCCTGTCAGCCTGGCCTCACCCATTGATAAATCAACAGCACCATTGGTGATTGAGGGTGCCTGTTAGCTTCTGAGAGGGCATCAGCTCTGGCTGTAACTTAATGCTTTGGGAAATTTGATTAAAATGTGTAAAAGATGCTTTCCAGTCACAGAGCTGTAGAGCTGGTCTAGTGTTATACAAAAGACAGAACCATTTGTCCCTGCTGCACTGTCTCTGAAGGAACAATTAGAAGCACAATCAGCCATGAGCCTGACTCACTGTGGAGCTGAAGCTGCAGTTCTGTCTCATTTAGGATAGATTAGTGCAGCATTGAATGCTTGCTTGTTGCCTTTGAGAAGGACGTTAAAGGCCCCCTTATGTAGTGGCCTTTCTGCATTGCTCTTCATATGATTTTTATGTAAGGGAATTATTGGCCCACTGTTTTCCAGAGAAAACCAGATGGCTGACACTGCCATGTTCTCCGGAGACTTGTGAGATCAGTGCCAAGCTCATTACCGTTTGCCAATCTCATGGAAAAACTAAGAAGACTTTACCTAGAATGCAGTGTTTTTTTTTCCTAAAAAGCTGGTGCAGGCAGCCCACGTGGAACTTTTATTGATCCATTATTCTCTGGGCAGCAGCCGCTCGGCCTCCGTGAGCCCCGCTCTCCATAGCTCAGCCCATCACAAGCGCAGATTTTCATGTCCTCTTTAAATTGTGGACTGAAACCATGTATCCCCTAGTGAAGTACAGTTCCAGCTCAGAGAGGCTTCATCACAGCGCTGACATGAAAAGACAAACAGAAATCTGACTTGCCATGTTATCCTTCCAATAAAAAAACCACCCAAGGGTAGAGGAAGAGATATTCATCACGTCCTAGCAACTCAGCCAGGCCTGCAAGTTCAAATGCAGTATTTCTAGGTGGATTTAGAAAACCTTTCCTTGGCAAAGCAGAGTTCTCCTGACAGCTCGTCTCACCAGCGGGCCAGCCTGTCTGGGTTAGAACAAAGGGAATTCTGCCCGTCTGATTCGGACTGGATTCCAGTTTTCTACCTCCCCAGTGGTTTGTGTTCTACTGTGGAAGTTTGAATTCTTTTCCGTAAGTTAAGCAGAACTTCCTCTTCATATTGCCGGGATTTGCCTTTATTTACAGTCAAGCTCTGGCTATGGAGGCGGCCTTGTGTCCTGGTTTAGCATGAGCAGAATAAAAGCATTGGCTTGAAAAGAGATTTCAGGAGATGATTGTGAGATTATTTAGTAGACTTGTCACCAGAGAATTTATCTGTTACAGAGGGCATGTAGATTTCTAAAAAAAAATGAAATTTCTATTTTAGCAAATACATACTTGTGTATAAATATTACAACATTTACCATAGCTAAACTTTCAGAGCGCTTTCATTAGTTATGTCTTGCTTCTTCCTGGTATCTTATTTTTCCAGAAAGTTCTTTTGGTTAGTGAAGTCTCCCTGAAAGAGGCAAAGATGGGAATCTTTGCTGCAGTGTGAACTTAAAAGGAATATTTCAAGGAGAGTGTGGTTTGATTGGAATTTCAGCAGGTAGGGAAAATCTGCATTAAAAATGTGCGCCTTCTGCTTTTGGAAATTTCAGCCTTCCCTTGTATAAGTGAGGGGCACACTTTTTTTATTTTTCTTACTGGAAAACTAAGGGTAGATGTAGCAAAACTTCGTGGGTTCTGCCAAGTTGATTTGAGCCAACAGTGTGACATAGCGTATAACACTGATGAGTTCCTTGGGGTTGCTCTTACACGTAATTGTTGTAATTCTTTTATGTAAAGGTGCACATGGTATAATAAAGAATGAGAGCTCATACGTGATTTAAAATTAACGTACCTGGTGGTGGGAGAGGTTGATTCTTTCCACCAGTGTTTACCAAGCAGCTGCCACAGCAGCACTGCCTTTGGCTCTGGTTGTGGAATGAACCCGAACAGCAGGGCCCATCCCATGGAGTTTATGGTCCAGAGGGGGAGAACCTGTCAAGTCTCCAGAAAACAAGTCTCCTTGTCGAACCGACTCAGTTGGTTCACAGAGCAAGATGAGAGGCATGTCAGCCACGCCTCGCTCAGGTCAGAAGGTGTGTAAAGCAGGCTGGTCCTTCCACTGGTTATGTGGACTCTAGGGTCACCTGTGGCCATCTTCTTCCTCATTTTGAAAACAGACACCACCATGTTCCTGACTATCTCTTGGGATGATATGACAATGAATACAGTTACGATCTACTTTAGATTTTTCAGAGGTTGAATGTTCTGTTTGTTCTTCCCTGATTTGCTACTTTTCTCCTCTTACTCTACCAATCACTAGGCCTTCCAGCAGGCCTGGGAAGAGAATGGGCATGACACTGAAGCTGAACATTGTGAGCACAGTTTGTAGCTTGAGGATGAAGGTTATAAGATGAGTCTGACCCTGAGAGAGCAGGCAACTTTGAGGGGAAGTGAATTTCACTTTGTACTCAAAGTCAAGGCTCTCAGAAATATGTTCATGCCTTTCAGAAAAGGCTATACAGGCATACTTCAGAGATACTGTGGTCTCGGTTCCAGACCACTGCAGTAAAGTGAGTATCATGATCAAGCGAGTCACATGACGTTTTGGTTCTCTCTGGTGGCGTAGTGCCTAAGGCACTTGACTGCTAACCAGAAGGCTGGCGGTTCAAACCCACCTGCCACTTCTCGGGAGGAAGATTGGGCAATCTACTTCCGTAGTGATACTGCCTCAGAAACCCAAGGAGAGGTCGCTATGAGTCAGATCGGACTCAACTGCAGTGAGTTTGGTTTTGGTTTTGTTAGTGCATATAGAAGGCATGCTTACACTATACTGTAGTCTATTAAGTGTGCACTAGCATAATGAAAAAGCTTGAAATATTATGAGAATTACCAAAATGTGCCACAGAGACATGAAGTGAGCACATGCTGTTAGAAAAAACGGTGCCAATACTGGTGGAACCCCTGAGACTGTGGCTCCTAGCCTCCCTTCAGCTCTGGAACTGAACCCACTCCTGTGGCTTCCAGCCAAACAAAAGACAGACATATGAGCTGAACATTTACATTAGGTAGATACACTCTTTGGAGAGATCAAACATGGGAGAATAGAAGGGCTGTGTATGCACAGGGAGACAGATTGGGGAGCAGGAGTGCATGGAGGGAAGGATACAGGGAAGAGGTAACTATGGAGAGGAAGTGGGAAGAGACTTGTTGCATTGTGGGAAATTAGTCAATGTCATGAGACAGTGTGTGTGAACTGCTATATGGAAAATGAATTTGCTCTGTAAACTTTCACCCAAATCACAATAAAAATTTTTTAAAAAAATGGTGCCAGTAGACTTGCTTAATATAGGTTGCCACATACCTTCAATAAAAAAGAGAAAAATGCAGTATCTGCAACGCATAATAAAATGAAGCATAGTAAAACGAGGCGTGCCTGCCTGTGTAAACACATAGTGACAGAAGTCAGAAAAGTAGAATACTTGCAGTTCACTGAAAGTGATCCCAATTTTCTAGTGACTTAGTGTTTAGCAAAGGAGTAGATGTTGCAGAGGAGACAAAGGGTGACAGTCTCAGATTTGCCTTCAGAGTGCTGACCTTTCATATTTTTTTGAGAAGCGTTATTTAATTTTTAATTTTTTTTTTCCTTCAGAATGAAGTTGGCCTACTGGAGTTCTTCCAGAATGTGATAAAAGAAACTAGGGCAGAGCCAAAATTGGTGACTAGTTGGGTCCTCAACACTTTTCTGGGTTATTTAAAGCAACAGAGCTTGACTGTCAGTGAGAGGTAAGTGAGGGCTTGGGATTTCTTTTTTCTTTAACTCTGTGTCCAGAAGCAGTCAAAATAGGGCAGGCCCAGTGTTTTTCACCCCGTTTCCCTACAGGATAGCCTGTCAAGAAGATAAACATCCCCTGTGAATTCTAAATTCTAAAGATACTCTCTATCCCCTTTGAAAATATCCTCATTTATTCAACCCTCTGCCTGTATACTCTGTCATTTATACTGTGCTAGGGACTGAGGGCTTGAAGAGGAATAAGGCAAGGAGTTTACAAACCTGGGAGAGATACAGACTGGCAAGAAAACCAACACTCTCCTCAATGTGATAGGAGAGGGGTGCCCAGCGTGCTGTGAATGACCTCAGAGGGACCTGAATTGATGAAACTGAGGCTGGAAAACCAACCAAGGTTTCCTTCAGCAGGTGGTGCTGTAGTTTGCCAAGCAGTGGGAGAGGCAGAGGCACCTGGACAAAGGAAGCAATAGCGTGATACTCAGAGACAAGTGGGTATGGAAGGCTCAGGAAACTCAGAGACTCCGTGGTAGTGAGGCTGGCAGGCAGGAAAGGTGGCAGGAAACCTGGAGAGATGACAGAGGTTCTAGGAGGGCTTTCTAAGTCTTTATCCCCACCTATTGAAAGCCATAGATCCAAGCTCACTCCTGTTTCAGTTTGAGGGAATGGAATCGAAGAACAGCTTAGATGCAGGGAGACCAATCAGGACCTTCTGGAGAAGTGCCAATGAGAAATGACACAGCCTGGACCTGGGTGGCAATGGCAGGGCTGAAGAGAAGTGGACTAAGTGGAGGGCAAGTATCTCACATGGGCAGGACTTCTAGATTTCTTGCTTGGGCCAAAAAAAAAAACAACTCACTGCCGTCAAGTCAGATCCGACTTATATTGACCCCTCCTTGGGTTTCTGAGGCAGCATCTCTATGGAAGTAGATTGTCCCAGTCTTCCTTCCAAGGAGTGGCTGGTGGTTTTGAACTGCCAGCCTTCTGGTTAGCAGCCAAGTGCCTTAGGCATTGCTTAGACAGTAGGGTGAAATGGAGGACAGTGTTTTTGACTCTAGTGTGAGGAAGAGAAATAAGTCTAAAAAAAGGGGTGGGGGGAGGATGTTCCATTTTGGACATGGTGATTTGGGGCTGCCTGTAGGGCTGCTATCCCCCAGGTGGTGATAACCAGCAGGGAGTCAGATAGAAGGATCTGCAGCTTACTAGAGCTTCTGGGAGGCATAACTGGGAGAGTTCTCATTTGCTCATTATTCAGCACATGTTCATTCTGTCTCTGTGTGTGAAGTTAAGTACAGGAGACAGCCAGTCAAGAGGACAGACACAGTCCCTGCTCTCAAAGAGCTGACAGTCTAGAGCTGATGATTAGAAAGCAGTGAGGGGGGTGCTCCAAAAAGGGGAAGAAAGTAACAGCTAAGCTAAGGCCCGAGTGGAGAATGATAGGATTAGTCAGAGTTGAAAGGGCAAGAGTATACCACACGTAGGGAAGAGCATGACACTTTGGGAATTCAAGTTCTTAGTCCAATATAAATGGGAGCTAGAGTTCACAGCATAGAGGTGTTTGTTGAAGTTGTTGGGGTGGATGAGCAGTCAGGGAGGATACAGCATGAAAGATGAATGAGAAAGGAGCCTGGGACATCCTATCTTGTAACTGAAGACCTTGGGCAGAGAAGAAGGAAACTGAGAAGAAATGGCAGGTAGGAGGAAGACCAGAGAGTGGTGCAGTGTCACAGAAGCCAGAGAAAAGGGAAGTTTTAAGAAGGAAAGAATGAGCAGCAGTTTTAGATGTGGGGAATGGGGCAGTGAGAGTTCCTTAGGGACCCACAGGTGAATTGCTGGCCATTGTCAGGGCCCAGTGGCAGGTGGAGCCCAGTCTGGCTATATGGAGTAATATTAGCCAGATGGCATGCCATCATCTCAGCAGTATCCCTGACTGTGGAGATGTGAAGTGGAAAAGGCAGACACATACCCATTTGTGATTCCAAAACTGTTGTTTGCTAGAAAAAATTACTCTGCACAACACCAACTTCACATTCAGCCTCTTGCTCTCAGTGTTTGTATGCTTGCAGTTATGTAGCATTGTATCACAGTACTTCCTACTTGGCTACTTACCAGCAGTGACCTTCGGTAAGTTCCCCTCTGTGCACCTCACTTTCCTCACTATGAAATGAAAATATAAAATGCTTTGTGCCCCCTCACTGTTAACCTCCTTCTCTTTGTGATGTTGTTATATTAAGTATCAAAATAGCCACCCTCAGCCTAAGGTGCTGGCCTCCTCCTGAACAACTGTGGCTTCTGTGGTCTAGTCTTTCACTCATGTCCTTCCAGATGGGATCTCACCAATCAGAACCTCCACTATTGACATTGAAAATACTGTGGCCATTGAAGGAAGGGATTGCTAGGCTGGAGCCATCTGAAGGAGCTGACAGAAGAGATACAACCCTACCTGAGCCTTAGAGGATAGGTAGGATTTGGGGAGATAGAGAGCTAGGCGGCACCAGTGGGGAGCAGATGTGAGCAGGCTTAGGGATGGCAAAGTACTGACATGTTTTTAGAATGGGAGGAGCAGAGCTGGTAGGAGCAGAGGGTAGAAAATGGCAGAAGAGCAAGGTTGTTTCAGTGGAGCTGAGCCAGATTATGAAGGATCTGGGAAGTCAGAGAGGAATTCAGCTGTGAGTCCAGTAAACAGGTACAGAGCACCACTCTGTGCAGTGCATGGAGGGATGACCAGGGTCCAGTCTTGGCCTTCAAGAAGCTGTCAGTCTCCTGGGGGAGGAGTAGACTTGTGCATCAATATTACAATTCCAAAGCAGGATGGGAAGCTTCCTGTTTCAGAACTATATGGAATAATATTAGCCAGAAGACCCCTGGAAGGCTCTAAGAAGGTGTTTGAGCATCTAGATGAAATATAAATCCTTAATTTTAAATTTGTGATTTTCCATATTGTTGGTTACAGGTTATAGAGTAGTCAGATTTTAGACATAGAAGAGATATTAGGTATCTCTGCTTCAACCCTTTTACTTAGAGATGTGTAAACTGATGCCCCACAAGGCAAGGCTACTGATTTCAGGTTCACAGCTGCTCAGACTGGAATCCATGTCTGCTGACTTTTAGATCTGTTTCTTTTTATGTTAGTCTTTGAAATTGAAGGTTTGCCTAACAACCACTTTGTCTGGTGGCATCGGAAGGAGCTGAGGTTGATAAACTAAACTGGCGAGTGAACTTGGAGCCCCTGGTATTTGCCCAAACAACTCATAAGCACTAGAGTTTTAAGAACCTGAAGGGTATGCAGTTCTAAATAAAAGTATAGTGAGTTGTTCCTAAGTCAGGTAAAGAGGAAGTTAATCAGTAGTTGATGTAAATTGAACAAAGAGCAAAAGAGAGAACAAGAGCTGAGGAGCCAAAACCAAGCTGTTGTAGCAGTTCTGCTTCTAAACAGTTGTGGTACAATGAATTACCTTCTAGCCGTGGGCTTTGTGACTCCCACCAGATGACTGGGTGGGGCTATGCAAATCTGAGATGCCTGTGGCCCTTCAAGGGGATTGGATAGCTTGTTAATAATGTGAATAAGGTGCATGGCACCCTTGTGTGGGTGAGACCATGCAAATAAAGTGTATGGAACCCTAATTGGAGACTGGTCAGTTTTGGCACCCCATTAGGCTTAAAATGAGCCCTTCCAGTGGTGAAAAGAGGGGATCTCACGACCATCAAGAAAAAAGAATCAGGAGTGGAGCACATCCTTGGACTTGAGATCCCCGTGCTAGACCTCCTGGACCCAGGAGACAGAGAGCTGTAACACTTAGCTGATACGGTGAGAGATGGTGAGAAGCAGGAAAACAATGGCAACAGAGGCAACAGAACTAAGAGACCGGCTTGAGATACAGTGGCGGCCTTCTTGGCCCATGGAGCAAGAGAGCTGAGTGTCTTCAGCAGGGGGCATGCTGGCAGAGTAGGGTGCTTCTCCAGGTACCTGCTGGCAGAGCTAGAAGAGCTCTGTAACACCTGCCCTAGCAGGGCAGAGGCCAAGGCCAGAGAGAAGCATGCCGGGGGCATGGCTGAGAAGAACTGTCCTGATTAAAGAACTGTATCCTCACTTGTGTCTGATTCTGAATTGTAACCTGTTCCCTAAAAAAACCCCTTCATCGTATTGTCTGTGAGTTCTGTGTGGCCATTGCAATGAATTATCAAACCCAACAGAGAAGTGGAGAGTGCTGTGGGAGGGATGCTTTGTGTCATAATTGGTAAAAATGTTGGAAGGTGGTAGCATGTCTGACCACTGCCTCATAGGAATCAGCTTTGGGCTGTTGATGCTGATGTTCTTGATTTTCCTCCCCACTTGTGAAGTTAGAGGAGGTCAGATGACAACACCTCCACACCCCTTTTAAGACAGTTCAAAGAACCTTTACCCAGACTGGATATACCAGCCTAACCTGGGAGCAAATGTTAATAATGAACAGCCTCAGATGCTAGAGTTGAAGTTTCCAAAGCTTAGACAAGCTGTAGCTGCAGAGGTAGCAATAGGCACGTGCTGACACCCAGACAAGGAACACTGTGGAGATGAAATTGGCAAGAGCTGGTTTTGCAAGTCAGCATTTGTCCTTTAAGGGCCTCTTAGAAGACTGGTGTTAAAGGGTCCAACCAGACCAGCTTTTGTTGATCTTGGCTTTTTAATTGTTTTGAGTGCATTGTTTTGAAAGGCTTTTTTTTGTTTGTTTTTAAAATTAATATCACATTATAAATTGCTATTAGAAAACAGGTTGGTTTAGTTAAGAAAATGGAAATTATAGATTCCCTGGCCAAGCGTTTTGTGGTGAAATCAGGCAAGTACAGCTGTCCAGCTGAATACTCCGAAATTTCAAGTCAGGTATGGTAGCAGTTCCTGAGGCCCCAGAAAACCGGTGAAGGCTTTCGAGCAGAGAAGGGACATGGTGGTGACAGCAAGATGAGTCCAGCTCTGTGATGTGTGGGGCAGCATCCATAAACACCAATGTCAGAAATGGCAATCTTGTGCATTCAGAGGAAGGGGTGGCTGTCATGTATGTTCGGAAGGAAGGATCGCTAAGATTTGATAATGGACTAGATTTACACAGGGTAGTAGTCAATGAAGAAAGCAAAGACAGGGTGATGATTTGCACCCAAGAAGCATGGTGATGTCAGCAACTGAGACAGAAAATACGTGGGTAGAATGGCAGCAGAGCTGGTCTGTAGGGACTGAAGTTTGGTTTAGAACTAAAGCGCATGGGCCTGTAGCCTGTCATTGTACAGTCTGTGATGTGAGAATCACTACTACCTGTTGGGGTTCTCTAGTGGCTGCTCTAACTAAAACACCACAAGGGGATGGCTTGAACAAACAGGGCTTTATTCTCTTACAGTTTAGGAGGCTAGAAGTCCGAGTTCAAAGTGCTAGCTCTAGGGCCTGGGTGAAAGCCACTCAACCTTGAGCCCACTGGGCTTGAATTTCAGGAAGACAGCCCACTGAAGCTGGAGGCTTCTTTTAACTCAGACAGCACCTGGCTCCAGTTTGGCTGACAAACCCAAGGTCAACCAGTAAAATGGTGCAATCTCAAGATTATCAAGCAACAGGACAGGCCACTAATTCAAATCCATTGATAGTCCCTAGATGAGCAGAGAACATGACACTGAGATGAAGATTTGGCTACATGCAGGGTCCAAGCATGCCAGAAAAGCTCAGAGATTGTTCTCAAAGCTGCTTCTTATATGCTGGCAGCAGACCACATCCTTAAGGCAGCTACTCAGCTGCTCCAGTAGCTTCCACCATGGAGTTGATTACCTGTCTCATCATGGGGAGTAACTACATGCAGCTGCCCAGCCACTCAAAACCAGGCCCAGCCAAGCTGACCCATAACCTTAACCACCATATTACCTTTAAAAATCAAAGAACATGTGACAGAGATCATCTGTGACTCACAACACCTAAATATTTACTCTCTGGCTCTTTATAGAAAAAAGTTTAGAACATGTTGTTTGGGTGAGAGTGGGACCTCCAGGAAGGTAATTGAATTCAGTGGGTAGTAAGGACTGGAACCTGAAGAAGCCAAGGGACAACTGTGGGAAAAAATGCTTTCCACCTTGCCCAGACTGAGGAAAAGAACATGGGGGGTGAATTTGCAGAGCTGGCAGGATATAGAGGAAGGCAGTCAGAAAGAACAGCTGGAGGCTCAAGAGAAAGGGATTTCACCAAGGGCTGAAGTGCAGCCCAGGAGTGAAGTGAAGAAGGGTGGGGAACAGCAACAAGTGGCAGGAGGTGAATTTCAGGAAGACAGCTGCTGTCAAGGGATGGGGTAGATTTCAAATGACAAGTGCTTACAGAAGGCAGATTTCGGGGGGGGGGGGGGGGAAGGTGCTGTTGAGTAAGTTGTAACTCATGGGCACCTCTCTGTCAGAGTGGAGCTGTGCTCCACAGGGTTCTCAGCAGCAGATCACCAGGCCCTTCTTCCGAGGTGCCTCTGGGTGGACCCCAACCTCCAACATTGCAGTTAACAGCTGAGTGCATTGCCTTTTGCACCACCCAAGGACATAGAGGGCAGATAGTAGCCGCTTATGATAGATCTTTGTTGGTAAGCAACGAGGTAACAAACTGGGCAGAGACAAGTGACTAACTGCAAGATCAGTTGAAGGCATCTTCAAGGTAGGGAAGATTTCTAGACATTTGGAAGGTGTGAGACTAAAGCCACAGAGAGAACGAACAGCATTTGAGTGAAATTCATCGGCGTGGAAAGCAGTGGGACTGAGAACATGGGTGGAGGGCTTGGTTTGATGAAAGAGAAGGAGAGGGGCCCTTGAGGCTAAAGTTCTGGGCCTTACCTCAACAGGTGTCCTTATGAAGTGGTAGGTGAGGGTATGTGTTGAAAAGGGGTGGGTAGGAAACTGTTGAGAACAGTTGCTTGCGGAGAAGCGTACCTGGGCTCGAGGGCATGAGGAAGTCAGTGAGGCAAACAAAAGGATGGCTGAGCAGCAGGGGCTGCCTGGGTGTCTCAGGCCCAGTGTCTGCCTCCAGTAGCAGCTTGTGTCCCATTTCACAGCAGCAGACAAGGTGACTTTGGGCCATTTCACAGATGGTGGAGGGGTGTCTGCTTCCAGAATCCAAGCTGGAGATGGAGTTGTGATTCTGTGAGGGCCTGGATGAGGCTGAAGGTTTGAAAAGTCTCCTTCTCCTCCTTTCTCGATGGGCTGGCCTTGAGGGATGGCGGGAAGAGGGACGAGCACACAGAGCTGCAGCCTGCCACGTCAGAGTCTTCTCTGGCGCAGACACATCCACTGTCCAGAAACCACGATTATCTGACAGCAGCAAATGAGGAGCTTGTGCTTCTGGTGCAGTTCTGTTCCAAAGCTCATGGCTTATTTATTTAACTGCTAAGTGAGGTCTTTCAGGGTTACAGCGGCAGGTGCTGATCTTTGTCATCCTTCTCACTGGAGTTTAGCCCTGGCTTATTTGGAATTAATGCATGTAAGATATTAATTAATTATAACTACATTATAATTAGTACAATACCAGATATTCCTGTTGATGAGAGGAGTTCAGTACTATAAACATTATTGACCATCTACGTGTCAAGCACTGTGGGAACAAAAAGTTGATTGCAAAATCCCAAATGCTGTACAGTGGAGATATTTTACAGTGTGAGTTTATGATTTAACTAATGAACTAAAGTCATTGGACGGGTTTCTTTAAGGCAAAGCGTGTTTAGCTATTCTGTGTTTGCTTTCTGTCATTGTCTGCCTCCAGGTCCTCTGTATGATTGACCCATATGATGTGAGCCTTTTGCATGCTGTATAAATCCAATCCAACCTCAGTGATTACAATGGCTTCTCCCCATAGTCTACAGTCTAAGATAATTGACATTGTATTTTCTAGGATTGCGGAACATCCAAGCATCTTGCTTTTTTAGCAAAACTTGATTCCTTATTACTTGTCAGTAAGTTGGGGAAGCTAGAACAAGGATATTGTTTCCGGCCCTCTGCCCCTCTTCCTGTTGAGATTTAATCAGGGTGGTTCACAGCTGTTCAAAATACCAATTCACTAATTCCAGACACTCCCCAAACCTAATATCCACATGGATTTACCTTTTATCCATACTTTGGAATAAACAAACACTTGAAGCATGATGGACTGCCTCAGTGGGTCCGATGCTTCAAATGAATAGCTCTAATGAGGTTTCACTGTACTTGAATCAGAGTACAGTAAATCAGACTTCGTTAACCTGGTTTCTTTCTGTTGGAGTTCATGGAAATTGGCATAGGGGCTAAGATGCACTTTCCTTTTTAGTACCTAAGGGTTTGCTGAGAAATTAATGATGAAAGTTGGGCACTGGGGCTGAAACCGAAGCTATCTAAAAGTGGCATTGTTCCCTTCAGGAGCCTTCCTTTACGCAGACACACTAATAGTGCACTATTGATAAATCACACCATCTATTGAAAACTAGTCCCCTAGTGACCTCAAGTAGACAAAGGTTCATTAGCCTGATTTCTGTACACACTTAGAAGTAATCAAACTGAGCATTTTAAAAGAAATAGTTCATGATTCAGTCTTGTCTCTTCACTACCCCAGCCCAGAATATGATTATGACACATCACTGGGTTTGGTTGTCCCTGAACTTTGGTATCACAGGCTCTTGGCAAATTAGTTATGTGCAGAATCATAGATCATGAGTGCTGGGCCCTTCTGTGTCCGGGAAGCTGCTGTGAGTCTGCAGAAGGGAAGGGAGCATGTGGAGAGGCCCGTGACGGGGATAACAATGTGGTCATTGTTACATTCCCTTAAAAAATATCTCATGCAATGGAATAGGATTCCTATTTGCACAAAAACACTCGAAAAGTGTTAGTTACTTACTTTGAAGTAATTTTTAGGCTGATGTTTCAGTTGAAAATAGTTAATTACTAGGCTTTTGGGGTACAAAAAAGGCAGGAAGGCCACATCTTCTGACCTCCTCTAATCCCACAAGAGGAAGACAGAATCACCATCAATAGCCCAAGGCCTGTTACTGCAAGGCCAGACATGCTGCCTCCCTCCAGCCCTTTCACCAGCTGTTCCTCCCAAAGCACCCACCACCTCTCTCCTGAGTTCGATAATTCGCTGTATTGGCCACACAAAACTCACAGATTACGGGGTTTATTAGGGAAGCACCAGGTTACAATTCAAGTTCAGGAAAAATGTTCAGTCTCCCTCCCAGCCCACCGTCTCTCAGCCAACAGTCTCTCACAGTCTCTTCCCCAGCAATGCATGTCTCTTGCATCTCTTTCCCAGCAGCACGTGTCTCTTTCAGCAGCATGTCTTCCTCAACCAGCAGTCAGAGAGGTTCTGCCTCTAGGAGGCTTCCTTTTGAGCCTGGCAGGGTGGCCAAACTAGCCAATCATAGCATCAGAACTCTAAGCACCTGAGAGAGAGTGGGAACCTCCCAGAACATTGTTTTGTGCCACTCCCAACAGAAATACTCCAGGTGGACACCTTAAGCAATCAGGAGCTTCTCAGTTGCTCATAGCAAATCCCACCTGGGAGTTTACAAAGACTTACGGGTAGAAAAGCCACACTAAGTAATTTACCACACCGCATGGGGTTTTTTGTTTTGTTTTGTTTTCCCTTTCTAGTCATGGTTCATGCATTTAGCAGCCACCTCCTATTTTGACTAATTAAACTGAGCAGTTGTCTGTTGCTACAACTTCTGCCAAACAGCTGTTACTGTTGGGTAGCAAAATCAAGAAAAGCAACACCAGTCACAAAAATTTGTTGTACCCTAAAATACTAAATAAATAAATCAGATAAGATAGAGCCCAGTTGGCCTGTTATTTTAATTCCTGGGTATAGGTTTAATTATTTAAACCAGCAAAATGGCGTGTTCTGTGCTGAGTAACCATACATGGATAGACTGACAGCATTCAGTATCAATGTTTTTTCTCTCCTTTGGGGGTCTCCAGTCCTGTCACACCCTCGGCGCTGGCTGAGCTGCTTACCCTGCTGGATGGCAAAGTGATTTCTTCATTAGCAGCTAAACAGGTATGTCCCAACTTCCTGAAGCTTCTGACTGCTCTGCTATCCCAGTAAAATTCTTTGTGAAACCCAAATGCCATCACTAAGTTAATTTCATAATTGATGCAGTAAATGTGATATTTTTGTGCTGAACGGGAGAAACATTTCATTTAGCAAGGATGTAAAGCCTACGTGTGTAACTCAGGTAGTCTGCTATCTGGAGGAAAAAATAAATGTTTAGCTTTGCCTTGAACGTTTCCCTCAAAGATCATTTGTGTAGAAGGCCGGGCCTTGCCTGTCTTGTGGGCTTCAACTGCACCCAGCTCCCTGGGCCTGTGAGCCTGAGGGCAGCCTCTACACAACTTCATGGACCTTCCTGCTCCCTCTGCATCCTCCCGGCCAGTACCTGGGGCTCCTTTGTTTTTGTCACCTGGGTGCTCTCTGAAAGTTAGTTAGTCTTCCAGTAAGGAGGCTGAAGTCAGACAGTCTGTTACCCACATAGTGAATCCAGTTTTACACATGTGCCCAATGTGTTGAAAACTCAGAAAAATGGCATCATCTGTGGTGGCCTTCTGCCTCATCTCCACCTCTGCCTGGCAGCCTGAGGTAGGTGAGGTTCCTGGAATTCAGAAAGCCCTTATAAATAAGGACCCAGAAAGATAAAGAACATGAAGGCAGCTGCCTGATCTCAGCTTCAGACACCACTGCTGTCAGTGCGTCAGCCAGAAATGTAATGTTATTTAATGGTGCCTTTTGCATTTAATAGTTACATGCACTGACAGTGGTGGCAAGTTACAAAGTGGGGCTGTGACAAAGCTGCTGCTTTTAGCTAATTATGAGCCACTATGGAGCACATACCGGACTCTGGGCTATGAAATGGAGACATGAACTCATAAAGTCTCTGTTTACCCACTGCTGAGTGATGCTGTCAACTATGGAGGCCTTGAGACGTTTAAGAAAGTATTTTGGTTGCCAGGATGTTGGAGGAATACAAATGCTTATGACAGTGCTCAGCAGTAGAAGAAGGATTAGATGTTAGATGGCCTGAGAGCACAAAATACCGTATATGTAAACCCAAGGCAAACTCACTGCCATTGGGTCTATTCTGACTCATAGTGACCCCCTTTGGATTTGCGAGGTGGTAAATCTTTACGGAAGTAGATTGCCCAGTCTTCCTTCCAAGGGGTGGCTGGTGGGTCTGAACTGCCAGCCTTCTGGTTGGCAGTCAAATGCCATAGGCACTATGCCACCAGAGCTCCTTAGTGTATATATAGATATACATACATCCTCACATGAGCAGATGAACACTATACACAAACGAGATGAGTTGTAGCATTTGAAATGAAAGAGGAAAATTCTTCCCCTTCCCAACCTTCCTGTGCTAACAAAACAAAACAGAAAACATACACCATTTAAAAAAAAAAAAAAACACACAAACACACAAACCCTGAGGCAATGAATGAGATCATTCTAGTAGAAAGGAATCAAGAAATGGAAGATGGGCACAGCAAGGTTCAGACATAGAGGCACTTTTGGATTTCATCACTATTTAAAGGCAGTGGGGTCTGTGAGGCAATGACATTAAAATAAAATCTAATTAGAAAGGTGTCAGGTGTTTGTGGCACAGGGAAACCTTTTATCATTGCTTTAGGGTGTTGCTTTTTTTCCTTTCTACTTTTTGTATTCTGATTTTCAACAAAATAATTGACTGATTTTCTGCGGAAAATATTATGTACTCATTATAAAGAATTTAAGTAATGCAGAGAAATGAAAAAGTTCCCAAATAACTACCATTAATATCGATTGGGTAAACATCATTCCAGGCATCTATGGATGCCGATACGGATGGCTGGAGGATGGAGAAGATGGATGCAGACATAAGGTTAAAGACATAAAGACTTTTTTTTAGTATACTTGTTTTTCAGGTTTTTTTTAAAAATTATTAATTGTTCAATTCAGTGGCCTTTAGTACTCACAGAGTTTTACAATCCTTACCACTTTCTCCTTCTAGGATCTTTTCCATCACCCCAAAGAGAAACCTCATATCCATGAGCCATCGCTCCCCATGTCCTCATCACACCACCCCTGGCAGCCACTAATCTGTTTTCACTTCCAGTGGATTTGCATATTCTGGACATTACATATGTTGTTGTCAGGTGCCATTGAGTCTGCTCCGACTCATAGTGACCCTATGTACGGTAAACCAAAACACCAAACTCACTGCCATCAAGTCAGATCTGACTCATAGCGACCCCTCCTTGGGTTTCCAAGGCAGTATCACTACAGAAGTAGATTGCCCAACCTTCCTTCAGAGGATTGGCTGGTGGGTTTGAAAGGCCAGCCTTCTGGTTAGCAGTCAAATGCCTTAGGCACTACACCACCACAGCTCCCCTGTATACAACTGAACGACATTAAATACGAATGACATCAAACAATATGTGGCCTTTTACGTTGGGTCTTTTCACTTAACATGTTTTCAAGGTGTATCCGAGTTGTTGCATGTATCAGAACTTCATTCCTTTTTATGGCTGAATGATAGTCCATGTATGGAATATATATATGTAATATTTTATCTGTTCATCTGTTGATGGACATTTGGACTATTTCTGCTTCTTGGCTGTTGTGAACTATGTTGTTATGAACATTTGTGCACAGGTTTTTGTTTGAACATTTTTTTCTGTCTTCTTGGGCATATACCTGGGGGTGGAACTGCTAGGTCAGTATGATAACTCTATGTTTAACCTTTTGAGGAACTGCCAGACTTTGTGTTTTCCAAAGCAGCTGTACCATTTCACTTTCCCACCAGAAATGTGAGAGTTTCAATTTCCCTTCCTCCAAATTAGTGCTTGTTAATGTCTGTTTTTTTTTTTCCATACCCATGCTAGTGGTGTGACTGGAGTCCCTGGATGGTGCAAATGGTTAAAGTGCTCAGTGCTAACCAAAAGATTGTAGGTTCAAGTCCACCAAGAAGCACCTTGGAAGAAAGACCTGGCAATTTCTGCTTCCTAAAACTCAGCCTCTGAAAATCTCATTCTGCACTGACACACATGGAATCACCATGAGTCAGAATCTCCCCTGGCAACAACGGGGTTTTAGTGGGTGTGAATTCAAGTTGTGATGAGCATTTCCCTAATGACTAGTGATGGTGAACCTGTAAATGTCTTATTTTATAGTGTACTTTTTTGAAAATGAAAAATGAAAAAATACTCAATTTTACTTGAATTTAACAGAAGTAAAATTCTTGGGGTTCTAGAAACCTATGAGCCAGAGGGGGCCTTCTCAAGCCTGTGAGGAAGACTCTGGCTGCTGGCTATTGATGCTGTGCCTCTGACAGCTTAGCTTAGTTACCTACTGCTGCTGTGACAGAAATGCAACGAGTAGATGGCTTTAACAAACATTTCCTCACAGTTTACGAGGCTAGGAGTCTGAATTCAGGCTACGGGCTCTAGGGGAAAGCTTTTTCTTTCTGTCTGTTCTGGGAGAAAATCTTTGTCTCCTCAGCTTCTCTTCCTCACTTTCCTGGTGATTGCCATGTGGTATCTGTCTTTACCCACTTTGTGCTTGACTACCTCTGTGGTTAATCTGCTCTTTGTATCTCCAAAGTGATTTGGTTTAAGGCATGCCCTGCACACTGATACGGCCTCATTAACATAGCAAAGAAACCTTTATTCCCAAATGGGAGTACAGCAATAAGTACAGGGATTAGGATTTTTTTTCTTTTTGGTTTTAATAAATAAATTTATTTTCTCACAGTTTAGGAGGCTAGAAGTCTGAATTCAGGGTCTAGGGGAAGGTTCTCATCTCCTTTCAATATCTGTGGGCCCGGCATTCCTTGGAGAAATCCATGTGTCTTGGCCTTCCAGTCTTTCCCTGTGTCTAGGGAGTTCTCAGAGCAGGGACCTCAGGTCCAAAGGCTGCGCTCCACTCCCACCTCTTTTTTCTTGGTCATAATGAGGTCCCTCTCCACCCTGCTTGATTCTCTCTCCTTTTATCTCTTATAAGACAAAAATTGTGACTCGAGCTAGGGTGGTGACTTAAATAAGGGTGGGACTTGAGTAAGCATGTGATGTGAGTCACATCTTCTTGTAAGACAGATGAACAACAAATTAAAATGTAAAGTCCAGGTTTCCTTGGAATTCAGAATGTTCACAGGTCTGGATGATGCTTTCTGCAGATCTGACATCTACAGGAGTCAGTTAGTCATCTAATCCCTAATAGAACCTTATTATGGATTAATTGTATCCTCAAAATACGAGTTATAAATCCTAAGTCCTGTCTTCCTCAAGATACATCCCACACTGATCTGCCTCATTAACATATAGAGGTTAGGGTTTACAACACATCACAAAATGGTGAATAATTACATCAGATCAAAAAATGGAGGACAACCATGCAATACTGAGAATCATGGATTTCTAGGTTGACACATATTTTGGGGAACACAAGTCAATCTGTGACCTTATGGAACCACCTCAGAATGGTGCAGTGACTGGTTAACCCAGGTGGGAAGTGAGGAAGATAGGAGTTAGGATTTATAACTCATACTTTTGAGGATACAAGTAATCCATAATAAGGTTCTATTAGTGATTAGATGACTGAGTAACTGACTCCTGTAGATGTCAGATCTGCAGAAAGCGTCATCCTGACCTGTGAACGTTCTGAATTCCAAGGAAACCTGGACTTTACATTTTAATTTGTTGTTCATCTGCCTCTGTCAGCTCGCCTTTCTCTTACATCACCGCTCCTTGTTTCCCTCACACATTCCCCTGCACCTTCCTCCCAGGGGCTCCAGCTCTGCTTCTGAGATTTACAGACACCATCCCCTCAGCGGGAAGGAAGGTTGGGCAATCTACTTCTGTAGTGATATCACCTCGGAAACCCAAGGAGGGGTTGCTATGAGTCGGCTCCGACTCCAGTGAGTTTGGTTTTGGTTTATCCCCTCAGCACTGATGGGAGTCAGGTGCGGGGGATAAGGACGCAAAAATTGCCTATCATTGTGAACAACCTCCTGGTCTATGGACAAAAGC